TCAGAGCAAAAATAGTCGCGAGAGAAGATGAGTGAGTGGGAAAGGAAGCTGAATGATGTGATGGGGGAAGAGAGAGTAGGAAAGGCGGGAAGCAGCTGGACCCAGGGATCCTTGACGATGTCTGGGAGAGCAGCGCAACGAGAGACAGAGAGCGTGACCGCCGATAACGAGCCGAATAGGACTGGCGGATGATTGAATGACCTGGGGAGGGAGAACCAAGGCGGTCAGAAGAGCGGAACCACTAGACTACTGGTATCTCAGGTATGACCGCAACCAAATTTGGGTCCTCCTTAGCTAATCAATCCATCTGCCAAAAACAATAAGAAAAAGTACGAAGACAGACAGGAACCAACCAATGCAGTAGACGACAGAAACCGAATAAATCACGCAACAAGACCAAAAACAACAAAAAAAAATGGCATCAACTCACTCATAAATATACTAATCTCACCAACCAACAAAGCAACCTGCAGGATTGCACAAGAGAAAGAAGGAAATCCCCAGACTCAAAAACCCACCAGCAAAAAAAAGAAAAAGGGGGACCCCGGAAGTTGCCAGGAAAATTAATTACCAGCAAAGAAGAGATAAAGCTGCAGGCGACAGTAACCATGATAACGGGCGCAATCCAATCCATCCATCCACCACCCATCCATCGCCTGAGGCCGGATGAAGAAGAAGCGGAGGGGGGAAGGGAGGACGGAGTAGATGATCGGTATTACATCATACCGTATAGAACCAATACTGCACTGAAACCCACCTCTTCATCACATTCCACCTGCGCCTGACTGATGTTCTTAACTTACCATACGAGATTCTATTCCTGGTAAAAACCAAGTCAGGTCACCCTCCCTTCGTTTTCCCAAGGGACACTGCAGCAGTGACACCTCTGCTTTCTCCACTTTCTCTTCCCTCTCTCTTCAATCATCAATCATCAATCCTCCCTCCCCCCAGCCAGCCAGCCGATCCCCGATCGACCCAGTCCCAGTTAGTTCAACTTTCAGTCCGTCAGTCAGTCAGTCACTCAGTTTCATGGTAACCAACCCAACGTTCGCGGGAGAATTCTCCCCCATTCCCCGGACACCGAATCATTCTGCAGGCTCCCATTACCCACCCCAGAGGCTGGCTACTATCATCAAGTGACTCATCTTCAACTAAGTTAGTTAACGAACATTATTACGTCGGACAGAACTACTTCTACCTATGACACAAACACAGCCTCCCCATGCGACCTCGCCACCGACTGACTGAAAACTGACTGAAGAACCGGATCGCCCTGATAAGCTAAAGCTATGTACCCTACCTTCACTTGTAAGTTCTTCTACTGCGCACTCCCGTAGCCTCGCCCACGGAAACCTTACTTAGGTGGCGATCAACAAGCCTACGCCGGCGTCGGTGGCTGCTGACTGGTTGATGATAACCCCGTGGCCCCGTCGCAATGCTGCCTGATTGTTATCTACTTAGTTATCTCCACAGTACTAGTAGTAGCTCCCTGTTTGCTCTCGTAGACTGGTATCTCGAGGTGGTAGTATTTCTATTTACTCAACTGCCCGTCAATATTCACAGGGAAGTGGAAGGCCAAAGTAGTAAAAAATCAAAAGAAAAAGCAACTGCATCATACACAGTAGGGACACACACGCACACATTCCTGCCAAAAGATAATATGAGGAATCGAGAATGAAGAGGATCCAAGAAAAACAAGCCCTCCACGTCATTCCCACAAAAATGACCGCCTGACGCCTGGCTCTTCCTCTATTCCTTCAAAGGCAATTGTATATAGAAACAAGGAACAAAGAGAAAGAAAATTCCCACCCTTTTTGTCTGATTTAGTTCTTCCTGTCTATCCTCCCCCGTCGGGCCATTCTTGGGTAACCAAAAACAGGGCGTCCCATCGATGTGTCCCTCGCGACCACAGAACCACATACTAAACTTCACCAGAAGAGACGTTCTAGAAACGGGGTAAAGGTAGGGTTCAACAACAAGCCTCCTCAAACCCCAAGCCCTCTCACGAGGAGCCATAGCACAATCGGAACCACGACATTGTCATTACATCCTGTCAGAATCGCCTCGGTTGCGCTGGTTCCCCCAGCGGCCAAAATGACTTTCACCACGGTTTTCAACCAGGGGAAGTTCTGGTGTGGTCCATAGTTGTCTCCGCTAATCGGCCATTCTCCTAGCACGAGCCAGACTCGCGCGAACAATAAGCCACACGTTACAGCAACCGCAAAGGCCACGCTGCCCTCGAGCGATTTCCCTCCTCCCCAAAACCACTTGCGCCGACCGAACCGTCGCCCCACGAGCGACGCTGCCGCATCGCCCATGCCCACGCAGATGATCCCGCTCACCATACTCACGTCCCGGGTCACCGCACTCCACCCCATCCAAGGATGGTCGCCCGTCCGAGGGATATCCGCCAGGGAAAGCCAAAGGGGGATCGAGCATCCGATGAGGAGGAAGATGTGCGACACGATCACAGGGCCCCGGTGATCGCGCCCGTCCACGTAGGGGGCAAGGAAGTAAGTCAACGGGCGCGAAATCGGGGGCAGCTGGGACGCTCGGAAGAGATCGAGCAGCAGGAAGACGGACAGGACTAGACTCAGGGCCAGAGCACAAAACGTGGGGTCGATGTACACCGTCGGAAGGAACATCAGCACCATCATGCCATGGAAGACCTTGCGTCTCGTATCGACCTCCGCGACAGAGCTCAACTGTAACACAACCGCCAATCCAGTCACAAGTACCACAACACAATATGCTGCAACGAGAAGGCGCGAATTAGCCTCCCCGAAATCATCGCGGCGGAGATGTTCGACCCAACCAAGAGTGCAGGAGGCGTTCAACAAGTCAGGGTCCAGGCGAGCGGGGAGAGGAATCCAATACTCCAGGTTCCACATAATCACCCAGAATCGAAACCATGAAACGTTGCCCAGCAGATAGCTCAGTGCCCACCCGAACGGGTCTTCTCCATGTAACGCCTGCTCGCCCACATATTTTCGAACAGGTCCTAAGATGATGAGCAGCACTGTGACGTAGACGAACAACGCGTACAGCCATTTCCGGACTTGGGCTTGAGGCACTGTCAGCGACAGGAACGACGCTAGACCAGGGGCCATTGATCGCTTTCGTCGCCCACTGGGGGTCGTTCTGACTTTTCCTGTGCGTGCGACCTCGCTGACGCTAGAGATTGTGTGCCGTCGCCGGTGTGTAAGTGTAGGCTGCTGCCGGACGCTTTCTGTCACCTCAGCCTCTACGGTGCGATTGGGCTCGCCCGCCTTGGTTTTGTCACGCGACTCGAGCATTGTCTTTCGTGAGACGAGCGAGAATTGGCCTTCTGGCGAGTCACTGTCCGATATATTGTCCTCCGAGGTGCCCGTGCGGCTTAGTCGCTGGCACAACTTGTGATCAAGCACATTGAAGATACTTCGAGGTGACTGCGAGTTGCTGGGCGCTCGCCGAAATTTCCAGCTGGGGATCCTTGCCAGAGCCACTTCCCAGCGAAGCACGTCGCGACAAGAGATAAAGATGCACAGGCCACCAAGCCATAGCAACGCCTTGAGGATTTCCGCCTGAGGCGAGGACGCAAATAAGAATAGATTGATCAGAGCGCTTGTCAAAAGCTGCAGTTCTGCGGGAAGGACGCTGGTAGTCAACAAAAAATCTAAAGTGGGTATCAACGCTTGATGCAAAGGAAAAAGAAGAGCCAAAGATTCCGAGTTGAGGCCGCGAAGAGATAAAGGTTTGGGAGGCGAGATTCCTGCCGATAGTTGCTCTGAGACGATAACCGGAAGCAGAGTGATCATCCAATGGATGATGCTGTGTCCGTGAACACAATCATGCAGTGGGATGACGGCAGGCGGAAGAGATGAGAGACTGAGAAGGACATTAGGGAGTATTAGAGTAGGACTATGCTGCGCTAAAGACAAAGCAACGTAAATGGGTATCAAGATCGGGTAAAGCAGCGGAGCAGGATCGAAACTCGTAGGGATAACAAAGGACCGTAGTCTTGAGAAGCGAAAACGTCCATCTCGATGGAAAGGATAAGCGGCGTAAAGCCCACCGACAAGTAGGGAATGGGCAAGGAGCTCTAGGGAGCATTAGCAACCACAGGGACAAGCTTTCAAATACACTATTATATCTCGCGCACCTTTTCTCCAAGCCCAAGCAATCGCCCTCGTGCTTTCTTGTCCCAGAACGACGCCGCCCACCGAGAGGAGCAATGCAGCCTCCAACAGCCTCTGCAGAACCCCGATACGCCGCTTCCGAGCTTCCTGTTCGCGCAATCCTGTCGCTGAGGCCTCAGCTTCTTCTCCTGAGCTCCGCCGCGAGCTCCGTGAGGTGGAACGGGTTATCGACGGCCACGGGCGCAATAGGGGAAACCACTGGTCTTCCTCGCCAACAGCATGACGGCCCGAACGCAACCCTTTCCTTGGTCGCAAGGGTGCTGCTGGCAGACCCCTCAGTATGCCCGTGCTTTCATCATCAGCCTCGGTGCCACTATCGCTCGAGCTCCGTGGCCAGTGGAGACGGGTTGATCGGTCGCCGGTATCCGCAGGCAGCGACGATGAATGCGAGCCTTTGCGACGATACGGGTGAGGGGAACGAGAGGGTTGTCGGGGAGTGTCAGACAGCTCTATTTCGAGGGCAGAACTGTTGACAGGAAGCGATTCGTCTTCCTCCTGGCTCAGCGAAACGGCCATGGCATGGATGGTGGGTGATGAGCGGCCTTTAGAGCGAGTACGTCATATCGACTGATGGGTCGGTGGAGGAGCACTGGGTTGAGACGGAGGGTTAGCGATGACAGGACCAGATGACCGGGGTCAAACAGAAGGCGTGTCAATATACCAGGAGAATTGACCCAAGAGAGGTGCGTGGGGTGGCAGCAGCGAAGAAGATGATGAAGTGAGAATGTTATCGCTTTGATCGAACCGGAATCCCAGGGCGGAAAGGCGGGTTTTTTCGCTTATCACATGCCGCGCAGCACGTCAGCAGGAGAGCCTCCTAGAATCAGCCCATCAAGTGAACCCATCGTCACTCCTGAATCTTACAAAAGGTTATTCACTACAATTGTTGTTCCTAATTCCACTACGAGTCAGGAGATATGTACTTTTGTATCGGTGCCTCCACTCTAAGACGTCGAATGATCCATGATGCATACTTGATAGCCGTGCGCAATGGATCCCTGCATGGCCCGGCAGCCTTACAGCAAGCAGCAGGCCTATGATGCCGGGGTGTGTCTTTGTATAATGACACCTGCTGCCAACTCTCGTCCTTTCGGTCCCCAGACAGATTTGCAGGGAACAATCTGGGCAGGGAACGCAGGCTTGGACAATGGCTGACTGGTATAGATGATCGCGTGAGAACCTTCTGCCACCTCAGGCAGCTTCTGCAGGACAAGCTGCAGATACGAGTCCAAATCAGATCCCGACTGTTCCATGTCGATCTCAATGCCGATGTAACGGAGGTTCTGCTCTGTGGACACAGTGGTCTTGCGGCCATACTCCGTATCTTCTGCAGCCATCCGCAATCCACCACACCTGTACCCCAGACCCTGCCATTCGATATCACTTCCTCGGGGAAGCTCTGAGATTTGGACTGCGAAAAACGCAGGAACCAAAGCGTCTGACTGGACCACCCCAAAGTTAGGCAAATTAGGCGTCGATCGACTCGTGGCTTGCTCGTGCGCACGGCCTCCATACTTGATATCCCAGACATCCAGGCCTGATTCTCCGTCTTCGTCGTCTTCTTCTTCATGACGAGCATGCATCCGCTCCCAAATGTTCCATGCTAGTCGGGCCTGTGTCTCGATGTGCTCTTCTCCCACCAAGAAAGCAACAGCGCCCAGCCACCAGTCAACCTCCATAGCATGCCCAATCCTCCAAAGATGCTGCAAGGAAAGCACCGCGCGCGTGGCATAGTTCTCAATCCACGGCCGCGTCAGTGCTTTCCCAGAAGCACTCATCATCTCCATCGAAGCCGGCTCCAGCGGAATCTGTCCGGCAATGTAAACCATGTACTCCGAACCCTGTACCGGAACCGACATGGCTTGCGAGTAAGGGCCAATATTAGCCGGCGCCCAGTAAGAACGCGACTGGACATGAAGACCCTGCCTTTGCTCTCTAGGACCCAAATCCACGACCGCCGATACCATGACCTTCACACCCTCTGGCAGACTATCACCGCAAGCCACCGTAGCTCTCGCCGGAGGATTAGGCTTCTTGAATAGGGAGACGTAGATGCCATTCATCAAGGAAAAGTCCGCCATGGAGTGCAGCAGCACCGTCGTGAAAACGATATCAGCCGTAATCCGAGACGCACTCCCCTCTTCACGCCCAGTAGAAGCCAGTATCGCCTCAATCTTCTCCTTGATCGCCTCCATCTGCTCCGCAGCCCCAGGTCCAGCCTCAGGGGCCGAGATATTAGCAACCACCCACGTGCCATCATTCGTACTCTGCAACACCTCCATCTGTCCTTGAGACGACAACACCTTTGCCTCTCTCTTCCCTACCACCTCCTCACCCCCCAATACCTCCCCCAACACCTCCTTAAACCCCTCATCCAACAACACCGGCCTTCTCACATCCCCCGGCACCACCCCATCCCCATCCCCCTCCTTATCCACACACCTCGCCCCCCTAACTCTCACAAACGCAACACCCCCCTCCCCAGCGCCCTCCTCCCACCTGGGGACCTCAATCCTTTTCTTCCAAAGAAAACCCGGCCCATCCAACGCCAAACTCTCATACTCACCACCTTCACCCAACACCGCACCCCTCACATCCCCACCATCCAACACAAACCTCTTCATCCCATTGATAATCCTCCTCCTAACACCCGCATTCCTCCCGGAAACATCCCCCCACAAAAACCCCGAATCCAATCCCCCAGATGCAACCTTGATGATCCTCGCCTCGCACCCAACAGCAGCCATATCCTCCAATAGACCCGCTTCTCCACCAAGACCAAACCTCTCCTCCGGCGCAGGGAGAACAGGGTACTGCCACAGCCAAGCGAGCGGCACGAGACCCATTCTCGCTGCGACGTTCTCGATCCGTGTACGTTGGTACGTGGAGAGAATAGCGCCGGCAGAGATGGCGTTGGCTTCCGGGTGAGCGGCCTTGATGCGTTGGAGGAGCGGGATGAGGGATTCGGTTTCGTCTCCCTCATGCCCTTTTCCTTCTCCTTCCCCTCCTTCTCCTCCGGGTGATAATGAAGAAGAAGAAGCATCACGATAAACCCTCCCCGTATCCACCGCAGACCCTAAAATCTGCTGCCGATACAGCGGAATCCCTAACGCGGATTCATACTGCGGGATAATGCTATGTCCGATTGTTTGGTACATGAAACTGTCAATGTCTTCTTCTTCTTCCTCATCTTCATCATCACCACCGTCTCCTTCTGATTTCTCCTCATTATGAGGGGTGGTAGTGGTAGTGGTGGTAGTAGGCGGATACAAATTCCCCAGCGCAACGACCTTATGTCCGTTCCGGATGCAGTGGAGAATAGAGTATAGGGAGTCTTTACCTCCCGAGATCAAGGCGATGACATTTAGACTTGTGGGGGAGGTGGGGAGGGGGAGAGATGGTGTAGTTGATGTAGTTGATGTAGACATGTTTTGTATTGAATTGTGGGAGAGGGGTAGATAGTGATTTGAGTGCGGGGGAATTTTTCTTTGCTTTTTTTTCTTTCCTTCTACCCTTCTCTCCGATTCAGTTGAGGATTGATCGGGCCCCTCGGTGCCTCTTTTTGCTGAGTCGGGTGGGGAGTTGAATGGTTAGGGGTATATCGAAATTCAGACTGGGATGATGAGAAGGTTAAAGTAGAATGATTGTGTGGTTTTGGGAGAGCTGGAAATGTATGTGGAGCTGGTTTTGTTCTGCGGGTGACGTTCGAGACCAGACTCGGAAAGCCGACTGCAGCCGCCCGAGTCATACTACCATGTATCCATACGCTGCATATAGCTAAGACTACAACCATACTATCATACAAAGCTAGCTTAAAATCTACTGGTACGTGTTGTGATATGTTCAAAATATCAATTATACTAGCTAAGTTGCAGAACGAACAATACGCTCAACACAAATGGCACACAAGTATTATGCACATGTGGATGCAACCGACAAGAGTGGAAGGAAATAGGAGGATGCGCACAAGGGTATGAGGCAACGATTGGGGAAATTTGATAGTATTAAATTGTACATGTGGCCAGCACAGATTGATTGGGGGGTGGATGTTTCTGCAATCAGCAGAATGACAGGAGTGTGCAAAAATATTACATCGAATAGGCACAATGAATGCAACTGAAGGCAACAAAAAATGAAGAATGAAGTATATAGCAGAAGCTGGTAAGGAAAAGAGGTGGGAGATCGGGTACACAGAAAATCGCCGACAGGGGGTCAATAGCCCCCGTCGCGCGAGGATTGAGTCAGAGAGATTCTCTCGCTGCGAACAGATTGTAAAAAAGGAAAGGTAAAAAGGAGTAGAAAGGGGAATCGGAGAAAAGATCAACCCAGATCACCAGTGCCTCAAATGTGAAAGTCATCATGCGCTCTAATTAGTTTTGGTCCAACCGTGGACTCCAAGTGCGCCCAAGTTCCGTTGCCGCCGGTCTAATGCTTCGCCAATATTCGGTCCCATAAAGGGTGCCCTTTGCTCATGGTTTGTATCGTTTTCGTTTTTTCTTTTCCTTTTTTGAGTAGGGCACCAGAACCGGTCAAAACCCGTACACCTGTGATTCCTATTCTGGTCACCGCCAGAAACAAAGCCCGGACGCCAAACCGCAAGACCAAGTCAGACCAACCAGTGGAATGGAAGGTTATGTTTAGGATGTTATTAAGTGATATATGGGGAGCTCCTGGTCACATATCATCGTGATAGCTGCAAGCCAAGCGGATGCCAGTCTAGGCGTCGCTGTCGCGCTTGCGCTTCTTGGGCGCCCGTCGGTCGACGGTCGGCGAGTCAGAGGAACTCTCATCCGACTCACTGGTTGTCGACTTAGTAGCGGCGGCGTTGGCGGCCTCGTAGAGAACGTTGCCCAGCGTACTAGGGTCTCGTTCTTCATAGGAGTTTGGCGGGGTCGCATTGCCGGTGTCGATGACGCCCATCACGACAGAGCCACCCGCATGAGTGCGAGCGTGCTGCGCAAGGTTGTCGCTCCGCGAGAACTTCTTACCGCACTCGTTGCACTCGAAAGGCTTGTCCTGAGTGTGGAGGGAACGGTAGTGACGCTTGAGGTGCTCTTGGCGACGGAAGCGACGGGAGCAGAGAGTACACACAAAGGTTTTGGAGGGATCGTCCGTCAGGGACTGCTTACGACCACGTCGGTTAACCGAAACGGGGGCAGCAGGAGCCTCAGAAGCGCAAGAATGCGCGTCAGAGTTGTGGCGGGCCTGGACAGCCTGGGGTGTCGACGAGTTTGTCTCCGTGCTGGAGGCACGGCTGTTGACCGAAGGCTGCGACTTCTTGCTAATCGAGTCCATTTCGCTGTCCGAGGTACTAGCCCGCTTCAGCGACTTGCGGTTGTTCCGCTTCTTGTTACCCATCTCTTCCGAGGCTTCATTGATGTTGGTCTGGACGCCAGTGAAGTCGTGGCTTCCCAAGTAGGGAAGACTGGACTGACTGAGATCCTGCTCGTCAGACTCGTCGAAGCTCTGCTCACTGAAGAACTCCTCTTCCTCGAGAGGGTATGTCGTTCCGACACGCTGTCTCTTCTCGCCCAGGTAGTAGGCGTTGCCACTAGGGGGGAAGTCGACCAGGCGGTTGACGAATTCGTCTTCCGAGTCCAGGTCCGAGAAGCTGTCAAAGGTGGGCAGGCTGCTGAGAGGGTCCTCCGAAGAGGAGCAGGTGAAGGCGGGAGAGAGGGTCTCATGGACAGGAAGGGTCACGGCCTCGCTGCCCAGAACCACGCGAGGCTCCTCGTCATCGCAAGAAAGCGTGGGCAGAGGCGGCAGGTCAGCAGGGGTAGCGTTGATGGAGGACTCGACCGTCAGCTGACGGGGGTCACAGAAGTCGGAGCTGGACTGCTCGGTCGGCAGACCTTGAGGCTGGGCAACGAATGTGGGGGCCACGGGAGATGGCGATGGGGAAAGAGATGGGCAAGAGCTGTGCGCTGACAGAAGCTCGGATGTTTGGCTGGCGGTGAGGGAAGGCGGATGGATGAACACTAGAACAAGTCGAGTTAGTTTCCCTGTACAACCCTAGATGTCTGGCCCCGTGCCTTTTCCGTTAAATGCACCCATCCCTCCAATCTGGCAACCAAGTAAAAAGACAACAACGGGTTAGATAACAACTTACCAGGAGTAAGAGGCGGCGAGTCAGACCGGGTCCAGTCAGCATTGGCCAGGATCTCTGCATGAACATCTCCCTCGCATCCCTCCTTGACACCCTCCACCTTCTCGAAAGCGAAGAAGCTGTCATTGATTGGGGTGTGAAGAGTGCCGCTGGTAGAAGGCGGGCTGCTGATCGAGCTTCCAGCTGTGGAGAGTGGTGGGGTGGAGGGGAATGCGTAGTAGTCGTTACCGACGAACCTCGTGTCCAAAGGCATCAGGGCAGGAGAGCCCTGCTGCACAACAATTGTGGGCTTGAGGTGTGACGGCTGAGGAGAGGCAATGGGAGTCATGTTCATGGCGCCACGGAAGGCGTTAGTGGTAGCCATCTGGTGCATGTTCATAAGAGGGGCAGTGTAGAGAGTCTGCTGCTCCGGCATGCAGTGCTGTGGTTGTTGCTGGAAGGCCTGTACTTGGCCGTAGTATGACTGCATATCTGAGGGGTGGCTGGTGAAATGTTGTCTTTGCTGCGAATCAGGGTAGTATGCAAAAGATGGTTGACCTTGCACCGGAGTAGGTGCCATGGTGTATGTTCCGTCCATTGTGTCTAGAGTTAAAGAACAGGGAACCCCGTCAGTCACTCGCACTGCGCCGTGAATAGGAAGAGGTGCACTCACAGATGGTAGGACGTTGTGAATACAAGAGTAGAGGTAGCTCTACCCTTTAGTGTATATTATTAGTTATATAGTTGGTAGCTCGTCCACAGCGATGAGCGCTGAGGGTGAATGAATGTCTTGCAGAGTTGCTTGCACTTTGAGAGAGAATGACTGGGGGAAGGACAGATGATAATCCAGGAACCGCTCTCAACCAGTAGAGTATATATGAGATGCGAGATTGATTGATTGATTGATTGGTATGCTGCGAGAAACGACTGTTTCGTTCTTGATAGAAAGGTTGAACGTCGTGTTGGTGGTATCTGGGATTATATCTGACGACTATGCCGCAAGTCTATGAAGGAAGGACAGGCACCTTGTATGTCGAAACGAGCCAAACCAAAAGATGAGTATGGTTCAGGACGTTCTCGATTCAAGGAAACCGGGAGAGACTGTATAGAGTCGCAAAAGTGAAAGAGAGAAAAAGAGGGCAGACAATTAAGATTAAGAGAGAGAGATAAAAGAGAGAGGGAAGAGAGAAAGGAAAGACCAGATGAGGATCGAGACAAGTCTAAAAAGGGCAAAAATGGAAAAAATAAGAAATAAAGAAGATTAATTCGAAGGACGAGGACAGTCGCGGGG